GACTACATATTGAGTTTAATCGCAATCTTAGATAAATAATTTAGTTCCCTATTAAGTCACACATCATCATCAAATTAAGTTTAAACATTGAAACTAAACCAAGAAAAATAAAGAATAAAGGAACTCCAAGAGTGAAACTCTTGATTTCCAAATCTTCTTAAATCTTTCAATTTATTTTCAATTCCAATGAGACTTTTTTTCCAATGATTTTGTGGCTTGAATCTCAACTCTCAATCTGGTGTTTTGTTCCCCTTTAAAAGTCTCACAAAAGGTTGTTTTTATAGGGATTTAAAGTTACACCAAGTAAGGTGAAGAAAAAGGTCCATTCTAATTAGAATTTCCTCATCAGATACATGAGCCGCGACCTTGACCAATTAATTAGCAAAAATTGTAATTGCTCTAGGACTGCTACAATGCTTCAACTTCGATAAGATTTTTGACCACTTTCCAAGCATGAAGTGGTAAACAAGACAGTTGTAGCTTTTTCTCTTAACTTTTCAATTGTCTAAGAATCATCTCATTTGGAGTTCTGTAGAGAGATTTATTGTCGAAATATCAAAACATGTATAGTGGAAATCTGCACTTTCAAATTGGTCTCATTCTTCCATTGAATGCCCTCCTTCACTAAACAGCTACAAAAGCACAACTAAATCAATAACAACCTATCTTAATCACATTAACACTAATTTAAGTATAAAATTAACTAAGATTAGATTAACTCTCTTAAATTAATTAATTTAAAGTTTTTTAAATAAAACCTACTACTTTTATGCATTATCACAAGCCCTAAGCTAAATTACTATCAAAATTATGTCCAAATAACTCTATATCATATAGTTATTAGAGAGCCATAGTGCTGTGAAGAAATAATAGCACCATACCTCCACTTAAGGTTAAGGTGCAGTGGCCACGACACTAGCCCAATAACTCAAACATCAATTTTTTGAATTTTAATAAAAATAAGGTTTTAAAGTTTATAAAAAAAGGGCATTGAAGAGCAATAAAAAAGGACATTGGCAAAAGGTTTTCTAGAGAAAAAAATAGCCATCAAGCAAACAAGAGACCAAGGAAAAACGAGGAAGATTCAAGATTCAAGATCTGACAACTCTTAGTTTCTCTCTCTACTTTTGTTTTTCTTTCACTTTCTTTGACTTATATTGAT